ATCGCTGCTGCCACCGTCACAATTCGTAGGTGATGTTGTTGAGATGGTCGCGCGTTTTGCGCGCCTTAAAGGGTGCCGAGAAATGCTCGAAAGCCGTCTCAGCAGTAAAGGAAGAGGAGCGCAAACGCCGATGTGGCTGCGAGGAACGGGTTGTTTGTGCGCCGGAGCTACGCGAACGCTGATATGGTGGCCGCGCAAAGCTGGTGCTGTACGGCGCATGTGAGCTATGTCCGCCACCAAAGCAACGCATTGCAGCACAAATTAGTGTGCACCAGCGCCACGAGGAGAACGTGTAGAAATGTGGCGCCCCTTTGGGTAGCAAATGTTGGCGACTGTGATGTAGATAGGGATTGTAGTTGGAGCGGAAAGAGCTGTCACTGCTGTTGCCGCTATCAATGCTGCTGCTATTCTGCAGTAGTGACATGCGAAAAATGTTGCCATTATTGGCATTACTGTTGTTGCCATTGGCATTGGCATTGGTGTTGTTGTCATTGCAATAGGCATCCTCATCAAAGTCGAAATTGTTAGTTAACGCAGCTGCAGCGGATCCACCACTGCCAAAAGCTTCATCATGCTCATAGTCACGATCAATGGAGACCGCTGGTGTGATTATCATGAATTGGCTATACTTGGTGCGATATGAGCGATTGCTGGTGCCATGACGATTGGAACTGCTGTTATTGCTTGTGGGCGGCGGTGGCAGCTGAGGCAATATATGCGATGAGGACGACTGTTGGTGTTGCAGTTGCGCTTGGTTGGCAATTGAGTTAAGTAGTGTTTGATTGGTGTCCACTGAGGAGAAAGAATTGCTGGAAGAGAGCGGAGAAATATCGCCATTGTGGCCCAGCATATCGCTGTTGGCAACGGTTGTGATAATACCCGCCGTCTGGCTGATGAACGTGCCAGCCGGTGAAGGCTGTGTGGTGGTCACCAGCTGGTGATGTTGTGAGTGATGATGATACTGCAGTTGCAGTGGCAGTGAGTGCTGCTGTTGCAATTTCGGATGCGAGTGCTGGTGCGTGTGCGGATGCG